CTAATTTATGCAGCGTATAAATGGTATTTATGGAAACGTTCCATAAAATTATTTGTTACAACAAGGATTACTAAAATGACACTAGGAATTACAAAGAACATTATTTCTGAAACAAAAACATTTTTCGTTGACACACTGGGTTTTACACGGACATTTTTTAAATCCCTGTGACATGTAATCATTTTACCCTGGCGATTTTACACTTTAACGAGCTGCAGATCGTTATTCTATGAAATAACTAGTTAAACCATGAAATACAAGAGAGTTTTACACTTTAACGGACATGATCAGTTATTTCATGGAATATCTAGGTATTCTATAAAATAACGGATTTCATACTTTAACGGTAACATGTATATTACAAATTTATGATCAATAAATATTTACATAGCTGCCAACCTTACTGGATTTTCCAGTAGACTACTGGATTTTGCCAGATTCTCCTGATCTACTGGTTTAATAAAAATTCTCCTGGTTTTTGTGCATTTTAGAAAATTCTGTAAAATTAAAAAAGTTTTCTTAAAAAATTCCTATTGAAGTAGAATTTTTGTGCAGATTATTGCTTGAATATTTAAATAAGTGTTACTAATGCATAAAGAAGCGAGCCTCATTTATAAAAGTCAGTTAACAATCTTTAATGAATTAAATCCTTATTACTGTTCAAAATTAAGACTAAACATAATACATAACATTTCAAGTTCATTTAGTGTTATTTATAACTGGAAAATATTGCAGTTTTTTCACTTTATTTTGATGACTAAAAATCTCTAAAATTCCCTATGTGTAAAATATTTAAAACATTTTGTAACAAGTGTCAAGAAATTTATACTTTTTCGTAAAATCTACTGGATTTTTCCCTATCCATGTTGGCAGCTATGTATTTATAATCAGTAAAAAATAATATTTCATCTGACTTTTACCTTTAATAAAATTAAACTGGAATAAATATTTAATGGTCTTCCATGTTTTTATAATACGATTAATAGAAAGTGAAATTAAAATTATGTATTATTATAAGGAGTATCAGTTATCTGTCCCATTTTTCAAATTTTTAACCTTACAAAAAATACTGCACTCTTAGATAAATTTCACTTTTATAATTTCTAAAAACAAATTAATCTTGAAATTATAAAAAAGCATGTATAAAAAGTTTTAGCTTTTTTTTTAAAAAACTAGAAAATAAAACTTTTAATTTATTAATTGTTGTTTAATGTATCACTTAATAGAAAATTTATTTTTTTATTGTTTGTTTTCAATTTTTTTAAACATGATTAAAAGAAACAAAATAAATTATATTCAAATGAAATCTTAAAAATAATATTTAAAATATCTTAAAAGTAATATTTTAATTTTTAACTGTTTTTAATGGTGATAATACTTTAAATTGTTAAAAATTGTCAGCAGATGTTAAGAGTTAACTTTAAAAAAGAGTCAATTTTTTTTATTTATTATTATTATCATACAGCAGAGTGTCTTCATTTCTCTCTTAGATCCTAATCCCTAATCCCTTAGGGATCTAAGGGACCCTAATCCCTTAGATCCCTAATCTATTTCGTAGTATACTCCACACCAAACCGAAAGTTGAAAAGTGTCTTTCGATAGAGACAGAGGATGCTGGGGCTGAGTGTAAAGAAAAAAGAATTGGCAGAAATTTTGTGGAAGCTTGGAATTTTTTTTGCCATAATTTTCCACTATTTTTTGATGAAAACTGTTGAATAACAGTGTCAAGCATCATTGATTTTGGAAAGTATTCAGGATCGGAAATTTTGAATGCCATAACACCTGGCAGAAATTCTGAATGATGCTTAGAAAGACAGTTTTTTGCTAATTGCTCTTGTTCATCATTTAAAAATTGTCACCTTGTTTCGGGATCCAGGATACATATGCTAATTAAAGAGGTGGCTGAACAGCCTGATGGAATCTTTTTACAAAATGTTTATGGGGTTCTAATTAATCACACGATAGTAAGATAATTCATATTTCAACAGCTTCTGAAATTGAAATGTTTTCTGATTGAAGCTTTTTTAAAGCTTCAGAAACAATTGATATCTGTTTTACCAAATTGATAGTTTATTGGTTAAGCCCAACATTATTTAATATTTTTGACATATTATTATATTCTTAATTTTGATGTTCAAGAGCAATCTCTTGATATTTATGGTAATTATTGGTATAAGTTTTTACACGGTCACAATATGAACTTTTGGTAATTGGGGCAAAAAGCAGTTTTTTCCCTTTGCCCATCCATGTGGTTGATGCACATTTCTGAAATATTTGTAACTTCCCCGAAGTGTCCAGTGATAGTATTAGGAGATACTTCTTTTTCAACCAAATTTCAAAAAAGCAATTTGTGAAAAAACCCAAGTGGGTTTTTTCAAAGTGGGTCCACTTGGCGAACCCTGGTTATGATACTCAACAAACGTTATTATTTGCCATTAACATCCTAAAACTGATTAGGTTAATTACCCAATAATGATTGAAAATTAGAACATACAGATTAAAATGCTGAGAGCAAATATAGGGAAAACAGAAAAAGTAAATACTAACTAAATATTGTATTAAAAATTCTAAATAAAGTAAATTCTAAGAGATCAAAAAATTATGTTTTATTTATGATCAATTACACTGTCAGTACATGAATGCAATGCACAGCACAACAAACATTTAAAATTTTTTGAACCAGTTATTCCATTTGAAAAATCTTAACTCAAACCTAACCTACACATAGAATAAAATGACATGGATTCGGTACATGGGTTTCGATGAAGAAGAAAAAAAATTTTTTTGTTTCTATTTTGTGATATCCCAACATATTTCAAGGGAACAATTGTCTCAATGTTGCCATACTGGATTGACCCTAGTTATGTGACAGACCCACATTTTACGTAGTTATAATGTGGATCTTAAAATATTAAGAGTAGCATTGGAAAAACTATTTAATAGTTTCAATAATTTTGTCTAAATTTTTTATATATTGTGGTATATAATGCAAGTGTTGTGCATGATTTAATAAATTGTCTCCAATGTCAAAAAGTAAACTTGTCCCAGGTTCATAATTTTTTTAATATATATTTGGATTTCTTACCCTCCAAATATGGGAGGTAGACAAATTTTAAAAAGAAATTGGATGGCTATGAAGCTATTTTTATTTTATAACCGTAGTTGAACAGCCAACTTAATTTTAGGCTTACAACCACCAAATATCAACTCCGTAGCCTTGTAATTTTGAACCAGATCCAGAGAACAAGGGAACTCTTGGATCAAATCTTGGGGGGGGGGAATTTGCATTCATACAGGACTTTTTGATAGAATTAACCCAGATTTGCCTTACATGGAGAGGAAAACTTACCACGGTTAACCTGGCTGTAAGGGTACTTAACCCATCATCTACTTCTGGGGATAATTTACCAGTGCCTGCTGAATTTGAATCGACCAGCCATAGCTGGGATTCGAAACCGGTTCACCTCATTGTAAGGCGAGCGTTTTATCCCCTGAGCCATCACAGCTCCAGCTATATATATTTGTAAATAGTCCAAAAGCACAGCCAAACAATATTGCAACTGTAAGTGAAGTAGTTTAAGATAACCATAATCTATGATTGGAGCCACAAAGATCAGGATAGAGAGTTCATCTCCCAATGACGTGATTCAGGTTTGAATCCCAGCTGTGGCTGGTTGAAACGCATTCTGCTACCTGCTTGCACTGACCATTCATTGTACTGACGTGAAATTTCCTCAATGGTAGACGGAGGATGGGTTAGAATTCTCTAGCCACCAGGCATTAATTTTTTTATGTGACATGTATGTTTTTTATATTGTTTTAACTTCGTTTATATGAAGATTTTATGCTAAAACCATATTACATAAATTATTTTATGCAGAATTATAGAACCTATCATTTTTACACCTTTGATCAAGTCTTTCAGACAAAGAAATTAAGGGAAACAACAAAAATAAGGTCCCATAAAAATTGAAGGGGATCTGGAAAAGATTTTTAAATTTTGTGATTTCCTTTGTTCAAATTTGCTAAACACAAAAAATTTCTAAACGGAAATATTAATTTATTAAAAAAATTTTTAAAGAATCAAAACATCCAGTTTTCTCGAATGTCGTGGAGGCTTTCATTTATCAAGTAAGTCGCCTGAAACTGCTCCTATAATCGACTTCACAGAAGATATAAGAAATGGCAACAGACTTGATTTTTGATTATACATGAATAAATATATTGCGAATCAGCAGTTGAAAAAAAAATGTTGGCCAAGCCTTGGCTTTCTAATGAGAAATTTAAATTTCCTGTTATTGGAGAACTTAAGTTGAAATTTCAACAGTTGGATAAAACTATTTCCTTGCCTCATATATACAGCAGTTTACAACTAAGAGCACTCTGCAATTATTGTCGCCTTTTTAATCAAAAATCTGCTGCTAAGAGAAATCATCAAAAACTTCTAAACTTTGTTACTGCGCCTTTTAATAAGTAGAAAAATTGTCATAGAGGTATTTTCAAACCATTTAAAGTGTCAATATCATCTTTCAAGTAAATTTAAATAATTTTAGATAATTTTCTATTAACTATGTTGTCAAAAGGAACTAATTACTTTGCAATGTTACTGTACTTAAGCAAAGCAAATCGAAATAGACATAAATAGATTTTTTCATACAAATATTAGGTTTTTTTTTTTTATCTATAAATAATTTTATTAACCAGTAATCACTAATAGTGTAATATAGACAACATTTATTTCAGGAAAGTTACGTTTATTATTACCTATAGTAATATAGTAATAATAAACTTCTTGTATTAGCAATCCCCATCCCACCAAAAGTAATCCTGGCTTGTACCAAAAGTAAGCCTTGTACTTTATGAATTATGTATCTAATAATGATTGTATTACTTGCATCGAGTTAGTGTTTCATCTCAGATTCCATGTATTAAAATTGAAGTTGTAACAGGGATTTTAACTTTAAGTCAATCTACTTTTTTAATTATGCTTTTTATTTCAGATTATTTCTAAAGATATTTATCTGACAGCTCTTCCTTTTTTTATATGATGACTTCTTTAAAAGATGAAAATGTAGATTGGTACAATTGGCTTGAAAAGCGTGTATGTGTTAAAGGCACATTATTTGGGACCTTAAAATATTTTGGCACAACAAAATTTTCTGATGGATTATGGTGTGGTGTTGAATTAGATGATCCTGTTGGAAAAAATAATGGCATAGTAAACAATGTCAAGTATTTTACATGCCTGCCCAACTTTGGTATATTTGTTCCTGGGAATAAAGTTTGCAGAATTGAAAATGATCCAAAAAACTTGGCTGTTACTTTTACGGAACTTAATAAAACAGTTAACCTGCAGAAGTGTAAAGAAAATACTGTTCTAATATCAACCTCTGAAAGTCAGCCCTTTGATTGCAATAAGGAAAATGAAGAAATTAGTGAAATGAAAAGGGATAAAACGTTGGAAAATGATCCAAAAAACTTCGGTGATACTTTTATGGAACTTAATAAAACAGTAAACCTGCTGGAGTGTAAAGAAAACACTGTTCTGGTATCAATCTCTGAAAGTCAGCTTTTTAATTGCAATAAAGAAAATGAAAAAATTAGTGAAATGAAAATTGATAAAACGTTGGACGTTGAGCAAGATTCTGATGATAGTTCTTTGGGCTTATTAGATTCTGATTTAGTTGAATCCTGGAATTCTCTCACCCTTGATACTGCTGTTGATGGTGAACCAGATTTTCAAGATGCTTTATTAAAATTGGATAACAATGAATTGAATTTTGCTGGTGGTAGCTTGCCTACGTCTGACATTTTATTTTCAGATGTAATTAGCATTCCAAAATATGCCAGTACTCCAAGGCACCCAGTAAAAAAAAGGTTTACTGATTTTAATTCTATAGCTACCATTGATTATGCTGTAGAAAATATTATTGAACGTAATGATGAATTTGAAAGTCAAATTGATTTCATTGGGGAAGATATCTTTTTTGACCCTGAGAAGTTTAAAGAGAATCTTAACTTAGCCTCAACTTCTAAATTCTTTCAAATACCAGATGCTTCATCTAATAAAAATATGAATATTGTCTCACCAGTTTCTTATAACCCTATTTTACAATCTGATAATTTAAATAAAACTCAAGTAATACCCGCAGCATTTATAGCTAATAATCAAGATATTATTAAACCTATATCAATAGATTTAAACAAAACTCAAACACTTCAAAATGGATGCCAAGCTACTGTTTCTAACCTTGATGTATTAAATACAACTTTTAAAATGCCTGCAAAAACTGAAACTGAAGATTTGAATTTCACTGTGTGTATAAAGAGTAATAAAGAATCAGAAAACCATCAAAAATTTAGTAAAGTTGAAACTCTAGCTGATACCATAACTTGTAAAAATATGAATTTAAATTCAACATTTGACTTTGATGCTGCATTAAAAAAAATTTCTAGTACTAATGGGACTGCTTGCTCTGAGTATGATTTAAATCAACAGGAAACTGCCAACATCTGTTTATCGAAAACTTTTATCAATAATTCATCTGGTCCTCAAATAAATGATGTGAATAAAAATGACTCAATATTACAGAAAACTTTTGTTCTAGATTCTAGTTTACCTGAAGAAAAGCACAACATTGAGCAATCCCATTTTGTTGATGTTTTAGATAATGTTGAGTTTAAATCTTTTGATTATAAAAACAAGCTTTTAGAAGAAACAGCCCCTTTAGAAAACACTTTAACTGATGTTAAGGAACGAAATAGTGTAAGTATACCTCCCATAACTCGTAACAGAACAAATTGTACACGGAGATTTTCTTATAGCTGTGATCTAAAGTCAACAATTAAAACTAAAGGCAAAGTCATAAGTAATGATTCAGTTACTTCTAAAAATCAGAGAAATGTTTCTAGCCTACAACTTAAAACAAATAATGTTGACAAAAAAACAGCTCAGTTTAAAAAGCCTTTACCCGTGTATTCTTCCATTCGCAAGTCTAAAGCTCCTCTAAAAAAATCTACATCTGCTAAAGAAAATAGCTCTTATTTAAAAGAAAATGTATTTGTTAACTCAGATAAACCTGTCGTTTCTGGTGTGATTCATAAAAACGTTGAGAGTTCTATTGATATAAAATTAGAAATAAAAAGGAAAAGTGGGAGAATTTACTCAAATGCAATTCCAAGTAAGTCAACAGTTTCTAGTCATAAATTTTCTTATTCAAAAACTGCTGTGCAGTTAAAGACTACAGGTAATTTGTCTTTGCAAAACAATGATGATGAAAGTTCGAAAATTTCAAATAAAATACTTGTTTTGGGTTCTGAAGTTTTACCTATGAATAATATAAATGTGCCTGGTACTTCCAAAGTATCTTTAAACAGTGTAAAAAATACAATGCCTGGTGAAAAGACAGTCAACCAAACTTCTAACAACCTTACTAAAAATCCTATTGTGATAAATTTAAATGAAACTGTAAGTTTTGATATGGAACCTAAAAATAATCAGAGTTCTGATGATTTAAAATTAGAACAAGAAAAGGAAAGGGTATTTTCTTCAATTGAAGATAAATCTGTACTTCCAAATAAATCTCTAGTTTCTAGTCGTAGGTTTTCTTATTCAGAAAGTATAAAAACTACTGTGCGATCAAACATTCTAGGTAATTTGCCTAAAAAAGTGAGTGGAAGTTCAAAAATTTCAAGTAAGATAAATTTTTCAGCTTCTAAAGCTGTGCCTAAAAATGACTCGAGTGTGCAGGGTACTTCCCAAGTGCCAAATAAAAATACATTGCTTCCTAAAAAGATAATCAACCAAACTTATAATGGCCAAGCTAAAAATTCTCCAGTGTCACAATTTAAAGAACAAGTTGTGAAAGATAAATTACTGACGTCTCGACAAAGTTTTGGGCTCTCTTCAAATGGACGTGCAATTCCTAGGCGTGATAGTTTAGTTATAAAGTCAAAATCAAATCTTCCAGCTGGTAGATATTCCATGCTTCCTTCAATCAAAGAAAATATATGTGAAGCTAAAAGTATTGGTGAAATAGAACAATTAGCTAAGTCTAATGATCACTTTGTTCCTGGAGCTGTACCTAAAGTCATAGCAGACTCCAGTCAATCTTCAAGGTAAAACAATTTTATATATTTTGACAATTTTATATATATTTGTTTTACTGTATTAAAATTTTGTAAAACAGTATTGAAATATTGTAAAACAATTTTTATCAATGTTATATATATTTTACTGCATTTAAATAACATACTTTTAAAAGTAATGTTTAAATTCATAGCATTAGTGTCAAAATCATGAATGAAAAAGAACAATGCAGATTTACAATAAAATCATTTCATAATTTTATAATTGCTTGTAACTTTAACATCTTTATTAATTTGAAAGTAGAATATAAAAATTCAGAAAGCTAGATCTTCCATTCTGAATTAAGCCCCAGAAAAGTCCGGATTTTCGTGGTTTAAAAAAAACCTTGAAGATTAGACCAAAGTGCCCAGAGACTAGGGTAGGTTGGTCCTCCGTATAGGACACGTTGAACCACATAGCAAAACTGCATTCAGAAACAATATTGAAGGATAAATGTTATCCAATGCAGTAATTGCACTGTATTCTTTAGCATTCGAAATCACTTTTTGAAGATTAAAAAATTAATAAATAATCTATGTCTTCAAACGTTTAAAAAAATTGTTTCTTACTCTACAGAATTATTAATTGAATTTTATTAAAAACAAATTTTTTGGCACTAATGTTTTTGCTTAATGAATTTAAAACAATTTTTAAGTTCTTTTTATAAAATATCTGTTAGCTTTTTCCTGAAATTTTTTTTATTTTTCATTTCATACTTATGTTAGTTCAATTATAATGTTTGAAAGATTTTTTACTTTGAGGAAATATAAATAAATTTAAATTATTAATAAGGGATTAATTGTATGAGAGAGTAAATTAATCTCAAAAACAGTTGTATTACCAAACTGCTAAACTAGAATTATGCTTATAATAGAGCTCTGAAATATTTTTATGGTCTGACCTATCCTGGATTTTAGCAGGGTTGGCATGATTAAAATTGAAATTTAAATAACCTGATTTTTCTTTTTAAGAAAATCATAGATTTAAATCTATTTTTAAAAAAAAGCTATTAATGTAAACAAGCTGGTTGATTTTCTTTAGAAACAAATTAAGTATAAAGTATTTTTTGTGTGGTTAATAAATATATTCTTTAGAGTGTCTGATTTCAGTGTTCAAATTATGAAATCGATATACTTGTAAATTATAATATTTACATGCATATCCCTTCTATTTAAACAGACTGATTTTAAAAAATTATTTAGGTAAGTAAACTTTAGGTTTTTGAACAGTACAATTAAAGAAAAACATAATTTTAGGTGATATTTGTATTTAATATCTTAATTTCATAATGAAGATTTCTTACTTAGAAATAAAATAAAAAAAGAGTATGCATGTAAATTATCATACTTCAAAATAATCTTAAAATAAAAGGAGACTGAATATGGATAAAAGTGTCATGAAACTTATATAATAATTTTTTTTAAAAAATGAATAAAAGAAATTTGAATTATTTCTGGTGTCTTTTTGTCTTGTTAATAATAGTTATGCTGTAAAATTAGATAATTTAATTTTTTGATCTAAGAACAATTTTTTTTATTTTTTTTTAAGGATCGCATCTTCATTGCCCCAGAAAAGTCAAATATCAACAAGAAAAATGGGGCAGAAATATTCTGATGTGAAAGAGGAGAATAGTGGTAATTATTTGAAATATTTTCTCTAGTTTGAATAAAATTTATAGCTGTGTTTTTTTCCTTAAAGAAATCGAATGATGTTATACATTGAAAATTTAATTTTAAAATCAGTTACAGTAGAGTACCCGATTATCCAAGTTAGGATAATCGGGTACTCTACTAACCCGGGTACTCTACTCTAATAATCTAGACTAACTTGGATAACTGAAAAACTCAGTTAAAAGGAAAATTATAAATAAAGTATATTGTTTAAGTTTAATTGTATACAGTATAGGACCCCTAATCCTTCATCCCGAAATTCGGCACATAATCCGATCTAAATTTTTTTTTTTTTTTTTTTTTAAAAAATTTTTATTAATAAGAGAAAAAAAATCAGTTATATTCTCTTTCTATTTGGAATTTTATTCTGTTGAAGTAAGTAACTATCTTTCTAAAAAAAAAAATCTGTTTCTAAAGCAGTTTAAAATATCTAAAATTAAAGGGAAAAGTAAAAACACCTGCATTTTCAATGAACAAAATAAAGAAAAGCAAGTTGGAAGAAACTGATCAATCATTCTTGACAGCTGTGCAAGTGCTCTACTGGTTTTTCCCCCCCTTCTTACTCCTTGGTTCCCACCTTAGAGGAGTAATTTAGGTAGAGAGAACCAGTCCCCTATCCCTCGTTGCAAAGAACATCGTCACGTGATTCCTGGACGACTATTTCTCCAGTAAACCCTATCCCCAGTCTTTTACTATGGAGGTGTATTGATGAGCTGCATTTTGAATGATAAAATTTTTTAAAAAGTGGTAGTATACTGCTGTGGATACAGGTGTGACGAAAATTTCATTAAAGGAGAACATTCTACATTTCACAAATAAGATTTTTATTCCTTTATATTCACTTATAAACTTTTATTTGCAATTTTTATGTTTGCACGTCAGGTTATGAAATGAATTTAATTGGTTTTTAACTAGCAAAATAGCTATTATTTTCTTATATTTTTATTTAAATTAATAGATTATAATGTAGTTAACATTTATAGGCATTTTCATTACAATTAAATTTCATATTGATATAAATATTCTGATAATTTAACACCTTTTTTGATAAGCACGCGCATCGGATTTGGCGCATTGTTTTACGCCAATGTTTACAAACAAAACAAATCACATTTTATTTTCGCTCTGTAACTTATAATGATGAGTAAAAATAATTTTTTTTTTAATAATTTCAAGCGAATTTAATTATATATTTTACTTGTACAGATTTAAAAAGATACGAAAGTACATTTCATGTAAAAAATAATTTTTTGGATCAAAAATAAAATTAGTTTTTAGGAATTGCGTTTTTAAATAAAATTTATAAGTCGAAGAACACTTTTTTTATTATATAGGTAAAACCGTTTGGAAATTCATATTTATGTAGGAAGTTTTATATTTATTACTGTACATTTATTATTCAGGAAAATATTATCTACGTTATTATAGGTAATATTATTTATAATAGGCCCTATTATTAAATGTTATAGGATTGTCAAACGAGTAGCTATTTATTATTATATGTATTTNGCTAAGCATTTTATTTTTTTTTTTTTTTTTTTTGAACATTAATTAATTTTTTTTAACATAAAATGTTAATTAAGTCGACAACTACAGTAGAGAACCAATTATCCGGGATGCTCGGGACCATCGCTATCCCGGATATCTGAATTTCCCGGTTTTCTGGATCGACCAAAAAGTGTCGTTAAGCGATGTTTTATCGAACCCGAAGTACAAGGAAAAAGTGTAATGCATAAAGTAAGAGAAAAAAGAAAGGTACTCCTAACTTTATAATGGATGGTTGG